AAAAGTCACAGGCTCAGTATTTGTCTTTCCTTTCTCTTGTTCCCTCCCTTCTCTTGCATTGTTAATGCATATTCATCTTATTTTTCTCACTTTCCCCAACATGTTTCTTTCTTTTATAAGCACCGCTCCTTTCCCCTCTCTCTCTCTGTCTCTCTCTCTCTCTCTCTCTCTCTCCCTCTCTCCGTGTTTCTCTCATGATTGCTGGGTCAGTAACTTGACGGTGGGTTGGGTCAGGGGGCACAGTCATTTTTTGTCCACCAGCTTTGGGCTGTAAAGGCTAATGCCTCCTGACACTCTCAGCTCCATCAGTCCCGGCCGCATCATTCTAGTAATGCAGAAGTCATCAGGGCCTGGGATTGCGTGAGGGCTCTCATCTGGAAACCCAAACAACCTTAACCTCATTGAATTCCTGTTGAAGAATGCAAAAATTAATTAATGGATTAAGTTGCTGCTTTGTCTCATTGGATTACACCTTATTGTGTGGGACTGATGTGTTTTTGAAGAATCTCTCTAAAATGTTAAAGATAGGGAATAGTAAAAAAAATGTGCTCATGTTAAAGTAGACAGACAGACAGTAGAGAGGCAGTTGAGGGGATGTTGTAATTTCTGTTCAAAGGCCAAAGTTTAATCTGGATTGTGTGGCCTCTGTAGCTGGTGTGCTGGTCTTTTCCAACCATACTCCACTTCCTTTACAGGCACTCAACTGAATTGTTGCTTAACCTGCGCAGTGACCCTGCCACATGCTATCTACATCCTTCTACCCCAGATCCACCACTGCACTATTCCCCTCGTGGGCAAGGGTTTTGCTATGCGTCAACCAGAGCCACAGACTTGCGAAGAGAAATCCATAAACCTTGTGTAAGGGCAGAGAAAAAAAGTCAGCACCAGTGCTTACTCATCTGTTAAAAACGGAGTGATCTGCAAAGTTTGTATGAGAGGGTTTTTGACGGTGCCCTGCTGCTTTGTCAGTGCAGCACATGCTGCAGGCACTGGCATCCCCTATTGCCTTCCAGGTCATTGGCCAGGCTCAGCAGGAGGTGGGCTTCTAGCCCCATGACACGTCCCTGATTCACAGCTGGATCCGTAACAAGGTATCATAGCAAATGAGTCGGTAAAACATCACTGGTTTGAAGAGCGTGAAAAATTGTCATGATATCATTTGTAATTCCTGATCTGGACTGCCGTTGGTAGGAGAAAGAGAGATAGAGAGAGAGAGAGAGAGAGAGAGAGAGAGAGAGAGATCTGATAATGAAGGGGTTTTATTCTTCTTCACCATCTCCACCAGTCTCTGCCCCTCTCTTCCCCACCACCCCACAGCCTTACCCCCAAACTGATGCCCGAGGGGGGAGGTCCAAGCTAATGTAAAGAGGCAATAATTAAACATCTCGTGATCCTCAGCCAAGTGGCTTATAGGTGTTGCACTCTTAACATGAGGGCTTTATGACATGTTGTCCTGTTCTTCAATGTGGCTTTTGCTCCTCATTACACATGACTCATGAGTGGTCGTGATGTGTCAGATTGGACCTGTCCTGGTGTGTTGCGGTGGTAGTGATGATGTTAGGGGAGGAAATACAGGGTAAGGAGTTAGTCAAATGTTGTCAGGTCTTAGCAATATCACACTAGAGGTAATACAGCTGCTGAGCACGTAATAAAGAGCAGGAGGCTTTTAACAGTTTTTACAAAATAAGAGCTAAAATATCAACATGCAGTGAACTGTATTATAAAAAGCAATCTTTCAAAGACATATATTCACTTATATGCTAAACAAAAAGCTGCTCAAAAATATTTTTTAACAGAAATTGGTTTTAAAGGAAAAGATTTAAATAAAATAACCAAAAGTTATTCGAAAACATTTCAGAATATCCATTGTTTATTGCCAAATTGTGTCAGTTATTAACCAAAATCTTTATTATTTCTGTACATTTGCCATATTTTAGATTAAAGAAATAAGTAAAGAAATAATTCAAATCTTGTATATTGTGTAATAATATTCAAGAAAGAAAAAAGTAATAGGCTATCATAAAAAAAATGTATGTACACCACATAATGTATTATGCAATAAAATTAGATAGATAAACCCTTATGATCTTTAACCTTTCTGTGCTGAGAGTACAGTTGGCTGTGAGGCTGTGTGTGCAGGTTTGATGGATGCAAAGAATGGACAAACATCAGCTCCCTCTAAAACCACAATGGAGACCTTGGATCTAAATGTCATGGTTTCATAACGGATACACTGACATTTGTGTGATGGGATTTAGCCATGGGTTAATATAGCCATTGCCGGCACACTGCATTGATGTCCATCTCACTCGGGCTGTGAAGTCTATCTCACCATTCTCTCTTTTTTTTTTTTTTTTTTTTTTGGTGCCCTCACAGAAGTTTCTTTCAAAGGGATGAATTGGATTCTATGCTGGTTAAAGCCAATTATTTTATCAGAAAAAAAACTGTTTGATATGTAGGTTTGTTTTATATGATGTTAATGTGCCTCAGGAGCTGTTCAGATCATTCTTTTTTGGTGAGTGTTGGGCTGGGGGTGGGGGCTGTTGAGGAAGGCAGGCGATCAGCATTAAAATCAGAGCCATGTAAATCTAATCAATTATACAGTTTTTCAGATAAAATGTTGGTAAATCAAAACACATTTTCCAAAAGTCACAGTATAATGAGAAATTTAAATTGGAAACAGAAACCATTTGTTTATTATAAATGCCAGGGTGAGGTGGTGACTTGCCATCCATAAATTTCGTTATCCTTTCATATTCCTTTTATCTATGACTACAGCTTTGGCACTCGTTCAAGATTTTAATGAACCCAGACTTCTGAGGCATCAAGGCCTAGTGATGCATTGTCCATTTGGATCAGGGTGTACAGAGGGGGGACAAAGGCAAAAAGCTTTTGCCTTTGACATAATATTTTATATTCTATTGCCTTACAGGGGGGTCATTAGGTGACTGCAACATTTAACAACATAACAGATTGACAAGAATAAACACATATTCAGCATATATCTGGAATTAGCTGCCAGACTGATGATCTTGTGTGTATGTGTGTGTGTGTGTGTGTGTGTGTTTGTGTGTTTGTGTGGGTGTATGTGTGAGTGAGTGTTAATTTGTGTGTGCATGTGGCAAGGGGCGACTTGAATCAAAAAATAATTTTCTGTGCTTTATGAGGACACAGAGAACCCCCCTGCTCTGGCGCGACCTGGTGTCGGCTGCTTTCTTGGGCTCAGAGGTTCCTAGGGGAGACCAGAATGGAAGTTGAGCATCTTGCTGTGATCCAAAGAAAGTGTGCCAAATGCTATCAAAACTGGATTAGTAGACAACAATTGTGTTCGATGAACGGAAGGGGGAGGGAAAGAAGTAGTTTCCAAGTAACCCATGGATGGAATTTTCCAACTCCATTGCATTTTTATCCCATGTAGGAATGGATGTGCACATAAGCCAGCTTTGTTTAGGAGAAAAATCTATATTGGAAAAAGTCCAAGATTTCTTACCTGATCATGGATGAACTGGAGAAGCACAATGAGATGTATTTCAGATTTATTGTCTCATAGACAGTGACCTATTTATATGTATAGGTTATTTCAGATGTAATGATCACTCATGCCTTATTTGTGATGAAATATGTTTTTCATGTATTCAGCCTTTGGAAGAGAGTAAAGGTAGAAAATCACTTATACAACAAAAATGAACTGGACAGTAAATAATGGCAAATAGTCCCATTAGTGGTTCATAACATTTTTGGCAAGTGACCCTTAAAAATGATGCAATGTCTACACATGACCCCTTGTTATAGGTCGCATGTGTCTATGAGTTGCAAGCAGTTCAACCACAGACTGATGTTTCCTTCTCAGATAGTTTAAAATCAATCATTTTTAGAGGCCATTTAGCAGTAATTCAAACATAAACAGCAAACACCAGATAAAAGTCAGAAAAATTAAAATAGCAGTTAACTTGTTTAAGAGAAGCATGCTTTTTTAGGATATTGTGACCCTATAGATTCATCCAGTGTCCCACTGGAGGGGCCTCAACCCCAGGTTGGGAAACACTGCATTATATAGATGAATTCACTGAGCCATGAATGTACACTTTCTGGCCCATGCAAAAGTGGGAAAACAATATTTGCTCTGCATGACTTTTTTTTTTTTTAATTCTTTGATATGTGATGTCAGGGCAGGAAACTTCCTGTTGAAACAAGAACAAGAAATGAACATCATGGACTTAACACTTATCCTCTTTTTTGTTTTTACTCAAGGTCTGCCATGAACTACATTTGGCTCCACAACCTTCATGGAATACAGTAAGTCCAGCAGCACATTCAACATTTAAATACACCCACAGGCCAATGGCTGTCCTGAATGCTGACATTTGGAGCAAATCCCCTGCTGACTTAATCATGGCAAATATTGCGTGTCATTTGTGCACCACACTTGGACCTGGCTGATGGTAGTGGTAGTAATTCACCACTGCTGTGAGAGAGAACTCCCGGGGTGACGTTCCTTGTGCTCAGATCTCTCTTCTCTCTTTCCTTTTATTCCTGTCGTTTTTCTCTGTTGCAAGCTTCAGCCTGTCTCTGTCCCTTCTGTCTCATAGAGCAGAAGGACACCAGAGTCATTGTAGGCAGAGACCATCTGTGACACAAAAAAATCTCTAGAATATTTCAAACCACACAGAGTATCCCTGATTAATCACTGTTTACCAACTGTAACTTTTCTTTTAAGTCATTAACTCTTTTACTTGAATTATCTTTTAAAATAAATTGCATTGTATTATAAATGTGTGGGTGATTTCTCTCTCACAAACGCTTCCACCCTCTGCCGTCCCTCCCCTCTTCACAGCAGCACCGCCCCACTGCTTCGTCTCTGTTTACCTTCCCATGTGCTTGTACTCCCCCAGAGCCCGCCCCTCTCCGTACCGTGGCCAATGAAATGACTCGAGCTGCACCGGAGACCCATTTACGCAGCCAATTGCTGCTTGCTCTTTTGGCGCGTCATCGAAGGAAACATGGCGGCGCACATAACCAGAGCTGTGAAACGACTTCTTCCACAGTGAGTCAGTTTATGTTTCTTTTTTAATGTCGCCCTTTCTTGAATGTGCAATGTTTCTTGTGGAAAATTCACCCTGTGGCATTTCCCTCCATATCACGTTAACAGCTGTCGGTTAAATGCGACTTGTTCTTGTAGGCTGGGGAGAAGTGGCTGCAGCAGTTTTAAATCTGTTTGTCATCTCCGTCATGTTTCCCAAAATGTGAAGGAATGCAGGCTTCTTGTTTGTTTGTTGTTGAACGAGTTGAGAAACGCTCAAAATGTGCATTAATTTAACACAGCTGTGCTCCACTGAGCTCCAGTGGCTCTGAATTAGGCTTAGTCGGTATTTATACTTTTATCCCCTTGATACTTTCCCAACATTTCATTGGTGTATAAGGCAAATGACGGTACGTGTTTGTCTTCATTAATTTTGAAAAGGAGAAGTCATTGTCACACTGCTGCCTAATACCAGTTACATGGACAAGTCTTGCCGGGATTAAATACTTTTCACCTACAGCCTAGGCCTATTGCAACACTGTGACTAAAGTTAAAGGTTCCATGTTGAAGAAAGTGAGATTTCCGTGTCTTTTTTGTTTATAAAGCATGTCTGGGTGCTGTATAAATGCTGTGAAAGTATCAAAGGGCTCAATCCATGGAGAAATACACACAACCTGTATTCAGAAATTATGCTTTAAAACGAGCCATCAGGACTTCTGTCATTTTGTGATGCCACAACTATACAGTCACCACCTGAAGTCATGCCCCCAGTACTGTCCAACCTTTTTTTGTTTAAACTTTATTGACAATACCAAGCAATCATTCCATAAGTGAGCTAGCAAACTATAAGACCGAAAAATGTCGATGTCAGGAAGTCAGTTTATCATTTGCGCAGCCTTTCTAAGGATAGGATAGCTTTTGACTTTCTATTCGGCTCATTTCACTGATCGCTAACCATCACCATTTGTATTTTCCAATGAGTTTTAAGACAGCCGGCTACAAATATGGTTGGCCTGATTGTATGTCACGCAACTCAACTCAATCCAATCAGAAGAGACTCACTTTAAACATCCTGTTCTTACTAGAGCTCCAGTTAGAAGCATTAGAGAGGAAATGGAAAAACTTTGTTGGCATGGTTTTTGTTCCTTGAAATCACAGATATTTTCGTGTGAATGTCAAAACTTCAAATAAAACACCAGAAAAGTGTGAAATATTAAATGCCATTGGAAACACAAAAATGTCTTCTTCCATAAATAAATAAATACTTGCAACTTCTATGTTTCACATAGATTTTTTTTTTTGCAAAATGTTCAATGCCCAATGCATGAAATAGAAATACAAATAGAGTCAAGTCAGTTTAGAGCACACAAAAACATGTTGAGCAATTTACTTTAGAAAGCTGAATTATTTAATTACATCATCTAGGCTTTTTTTCTTTTGGCTAAAATGTCAGGAATCAGCCGCATTCTTATTTTTGCCACATGAGTATTTCAGGTAATTGGTATTAGACAGGATTTTAACCTACCACAGTGTTTACAACAAATATCATCAGACATTGTATAATTCAGTCAAGTGTTCTGAAAGTATTAAGGTATGAAAGAATAGGTAACGCCCAAGCCTAATGGCAGTTTGTGGTTTTAGGGTTTTGTATTCTGTAACCATTTCCTTTCCATCCGCTCAATACTTCTGTGCAGAGCGTCTCCGGCTGTTGTTATGGTTGCCTGGCAACCTCACTATGGTGTCTAGAGTCCAGGAAGGCGCTGCCACGTTGTACTTTACTTTATTTTCTTACTGCTTGATTGCGATATTACTAAAGATACTAGTGACACCTTATGGTAGCCTTTTACTCATTACAAGCATTATCATCAGTTTTGAGTGTCTGACAGAAAGTTCTGTAGTTTTTGGTATGACTTGCATCATTTCAGCATTTGTATTTTTAGTATTTGTAGTGCCCAAGGTTATAATGTTCAGTTTGTAGAGTTGTAGAGAGGTGTTTATTCAATTTCATGGTGTTTTTTTGGCTTGTAGTTTTTGGTGCTATAGAGTTGTATTGCTTTATGCCATACTGTAAGTGGTGTTTCTAATATTTAATCTACAGTCACTCATATAAATGGACAAAACATTAGATACATCTCTACAGTAAGAATATTACTTAAATATCCAAAGTGCTTATTCTGAAGAAATTACCTATATTGATCTGTATCGTCAGATTAACATGTTCTTTACACATTAATATCATTATATCATCTTTAAATTCCTTTTATGATTATACTTTTGGTTGTAGTTATATTTCAGAAAGTACTGGCAGTCTCTTATGGAAGCCATTTAGTGCAGCGACAGGTTTCCTGCTCTGCTGAGTACTGAGCAGCCTCACAGCTCTTGTTGTTCACCTTTAGATCACCTCTTGTTCATTTTGCACACCCACAAATTTCCAGCCATCTAAAGTAGTAACATTGTAGTCCAAATCTTTCCTATCAACGGTGTCTAATGTTTACATAATTACAGCCCCCAGGTGACTTTTTGTTGTTAATTGATCAAACTTATTAGCATTATGATAATGAAGGTTATAGGTGTTGCTTACATGTGTGATTTGAGCCAAAGCTAAGATTAAAACATCTGAACAATTGAAACAAACATAGGTCTGTGACATGATTCATTCCTGTAACTTGAAGCAAAGGTCAGTGGTGTACTTAATCGGAGGGAGTAGGTTGACTCATATGAAGGAATAAATGTCAGAATACGGCCTTTGATGCTTCAATTTTGAATATTCTTTTAAAAGTCTGTTTCAAGTCCCACAACTTGATGTAATGACGGCACTAAATTGCTGGAGTTTCCCCTTTTAAGAATACCAAGAAATATAAATACTTACATGCATATTAATCCTATGTGTATTTCTGCAAGTTAAGGTCATGAGACAGTGACAGATGCTTAGTATTTAAAGTTGCCTCACACTCCTCTGTCTTTGTAAATTGTCATGTGAGTCTCATTAGAAGTATAATTAGAAACTTCAAACAGTCTTGAGTTTGAGAACAGTCTCAAGATTGGGAGATTTTACCAATATATTGGCTATTGGTGATTTGCTGATTCCATCGCTCTATGGTTTTTTTGGGGTGATTTTGGACTGGTGAAGTGGGGTTTGTCCCGCAGTAGTTGAGGGCCACTGCTCTCTGTGACAGCGTAGCATGCTAAGTAGGATGATACATTCACAAGTGCTCGTGCATATTGGTAGTGTTGGAGTCTTTTGCTGGCCTGGCACTATACGTTTGCAAACACAGCGAATTGCTTTGTTTTGGTCCTTCGGCTTGCCGGTTGTGTCTGATTTGAAACCAAAATAAATCCAAATAGGTGAAAATGGCGTGTGGGGATTGGGGACTCTCTTGCCACGTGCGCATGCAGCACACACACCTACGTGAATATATTGGTAATCGCCGGTTGTTGGACTGACAGTGGCCAGTTGGAAAGTTTTAGTTACAAAGAACTTAAGCTAGTTTAATATTCTAGCAATGTGTCTGAACTGGTCAACAACAGTGTGACATGTGGCTCTAATTCAAGGTCCATGAATTTCCAGAGGCACAAAGCTGACGATCCTGCCAAATTAGAGTGTGAAGTGACTGTCACGCCAGTGTATGTGTGTTTGTGTATGTGTGTGTGTGTGTGTGTGTGTGTGTGCTTGTGTGCTTGTGGTGATAGCTTGGACAGATTAGAAATATACTATTTTCTAGATTCTCAGTAATCCCTCTTTTAACTTATCCTCTCGCATTTTTCTTGTAGTATGTTGCAGTGATTTTTATAAAGTGAAAGCTCCAATATCTGGAAAAAATCTTTTATGATATGTGATGCATAGACTTGTGTATAGCATTAGCATATAAAAATATGTACCATTACAATGAGATTCATGTTTAATTTTGGCTGGCCTTACTGAGAAGCAGTACCTACATGGTTAAATGCAGCCCTCTCAGATGGCTGGAACTAGGGAGGAATGTGTGTGCTTGTTTTATGGACAGCCTAGAGCCCTCGCCCTGGCATTGGCGGCAGACTGCTCTTTGTCACAAACACCCTCGTGTCAAAGATGCAACAGCATCCTGGAGGAAGCATTGACTGCTGCTATGAAGTCGACAAGTGATGAAAGTAGCCTAGAGGTTGTCAATTAAGAGAGCCAAGGCCTGGACCTTATAAGTTAATGGGCAGTTTCCCCTCTCAGGGCCTGCTAGGGCTTTATAGCACAGCTTATAAAACCCCCAAGTGTAATGCACCCCTATAACGTTTTCAATTAAGAGAAGGGGCATAAAGCAGTGCAGACACTTGGCAGTCAAGCTAGAATGTTTATAAAGTGGCATTTGGCATAAATTGGCAGGGGAATTTTCAATTGCTCCAGTTGTTTTAACGCAGCAGCTACTGTGCAGAATTTTATTTTGATGGCACTTCATGCTGACTGGAAGCATTACTGACTTCCTGGTGTCTTCCCATTACTAGTTCCTTTTAGCTTGGTCATATGGATGCACAGCCTGAAGTTTAAAAGCCTCGTCTTCTCAGTTGTAAAAGAGATTAGAATGAAGACTAGACGGAATTTTAATATACACTTGTAATATTATACATTCTTTATTAGTGCAAAGTGTCATTTTAAATGCATTTGTCATTTCACAGTAAATTGGCTAATTGTAAACTGTCGTATGATACCAGAGGAATTTACTTGTAATGTGACTGAAGAAAATGAAATAAAACTGAGCTGATTATTTGTCAACACAATTAGCTCTTGTACACAACAAATTTCCTGTTTGTAATACTATTAGAAATAAGCAGTCTTTAAAGAAAATCCCCTCACTCATCTGGTGTCTTCTGTGGTCCAACTGGCTTTGGCTGCTGGTAGAAAAATAAATGAGTGTTGAATAAACACCGGTGTGCTGACACCTCATTTCCTCATTGATTGGTGGTGGAAGCCGAGCTTGAGGTGTGTGGCCATAATCCAATCAAGCAAGAAAACAACCATGGGGACTGTGTAACCAAATTCTGCTGCTACTGGAGGG